GCTAATCTGGGTAAATTCCCCATAAACACAGAATGCTTACAGATAACCACAGTGAAGTGGTGGTCACCTTGATGGTTTCAGAACATTTCCGATTGGTACTCTGCCACACACACCAAAAACATAAATAAAAAATTTTTAAAAAGTGAAGTAACTGGAAGAAATATTTCAGATAAACCATCATAATAAGGTGCAGGTGAAGATTACAAGTTGCACTTAACATCTCATCTAAGAAACTTAAAATATTTAGCATCATTTTGATGCTTAAAGGTAGCTAACCTAGCAAAGCCAAGTGTATAGCCTTTACTCACAAAAAAATAATAATGACTTGTCAGGATGCTAAAATTCTATTATAATGAATTTCTTTCAGCTTCCTATACATCACTTTTCAGTCTTGCTGTTAAAAAAGTGGAGACAGACTTGATTCACTTTATCTCATTTCCCCTGACAGGGAAAATGATTCCCAAAGTATCCTAAAACTACACACAATTCAATTCAATCTGCCGGCAAACACCCTACCTGCTGTGTTATTGCTCCAGCCCTCAATTTGCCAAATACTTATAAAAGACAAACACATATGTATGAGGTCTGTATACATAGTTCTGTGAGTGTTGTAGGGTGCAATAAAAAGTCCAAAGACTTTCTATTTTTTACATCCAACTTTGATAGCAATGAAAACTAATCCTATAGACATTGCCATGATCCTTATTTTCTTGAAGACCAGTTAAACCTGGAAAAGGACACAGATCAAAGAAAATCAGCACTGAAGAAACTATGATATCCTATTTACCGTATCATTATTTGAATAATAACCACTTAAGGACCTGCATGGTACCAAGTCCTGTCTTATATACTAGGGATTCAGCAATTAGCAAGACCAAGTTTTTGCTGTCCTGAGACTTTCACAGGTGGAGAAGCTACTTGCCAAGAGATAGGAAAAGTGACTCCCTAAGTCTTAAAAATCAAATAATTACCTGAAAATCATGGGAAGTACACATATACATATCATTCACTGAGAAAAATATACACTAGTTTGGGGACTGGCTAAGAGTTTACTCCTGACTCTGCTCAGGAATCACTCCTGGCAATGTTCAAGGGATCATATATTGGTGGCAGGGAAAGAACTGGGGTCAGCTGCATGCAAGGCATGTACCTTACCCACTGTATATTTCTCTGGACCCATGATGAATGATATTTGAGGACAGAAGTAGCAATATTATTCTGCCTTGGATGAAATGCAATGGAATTTGAAACTGGGAAACCAATAGGATAGAGAATGGTGCCCATGACTTGAGTAAAGTCAGGGGTGCAGGCGGGAAGACAGCTTAACACCAACCCCTCACTCTGGTTTTCATCTCATGATACTCAAACAGTCTTAAAGTGGTAGCTTATGAAACAAAAGAACTCAGAGAATTCTGTTCAGATTCTCCAGTTTCTACAGAACTATGATTATTGCCTCAGCCACATGTGTCCTCCTACCCCAGCAGGCCAGCCAGCCAGCCAGCTGCCCACAATTACTCTAGGCATATTACCAAGGCCAGATTCTGAGTCAGAAATGAAAGAAGTCCCAATGAAATATGCCAGAAAGGTCTAGTAATGGCCTTATGAAACAAACTTACACACAAAACATACATGTAAATATGAACATATATGTATGTGTGGATGGATAAATGGATGGATGGATGGATGGATGGATGGATGGGTGGATGGATGGGTGGGTGGGTGGATGGATGGATGGATGGATGGATGGATGGATGGATGGATGGATGGATGGCGTTAGGTAGGTAGGAAAGTATGCACACAGTATCTCACTGGTTGATGATGGAGAAAAGAACTAAGTCAGAGTTCGAACTTATTTGTCTGCTTTCTATAGGGTGAGTCCTACGTTCCCCCATACCAATAGGGCCTTTTTCACACTGGGTAGAGAGAGAAGGAAAGAAGCAAATTCCAGTGTGACCCACTATATAGGTGACGTACCACAAATACTCTATCCTGTATCCATCATAAAATTGCCACCTATCTAAAAAATATCTAAAAGTCATCTGTAGAAGTCATCCTAGTCCAAAGGGATAAATAAGATCATCAGATTTTTTTAATTTGTTTTCTAAATGATACATATATATATATGCTAACGCATACATACTGTGACCTTCAATTGATTAAAAGCGCACACACGCATACAAACACTCAAACTAGCAGAGTTCATCTATCCTGTTAGAAGTCAAGAGAGCAGTTACCTTTGTAGAGAGACAGCACAGGAAAGGAGGTTCAGATGGTGATATAGTCTAATTATTGATCCAGGTACTGTTTACACAGAATTCCCTTTGTGAACAGTCAACAAATGTACACCATATATTATGCATATACTTTGTATTACAATACAAAAGGTTCTTTAAATTTAGCTTCCTAGTAATTCATGCTTTATTGCTAATTTATATTTATGTCTTCCTTAGATAATATTCAAAATCATGGAACTTTCTTCAGCTGATTTTCAGACCAATGAATACACAGTAACTAATATTCCAGACCTTACAAATCTTCACTATATCATCCATCAACTAGTACCTCAAGGAACTTATATAAAATCACGTCTGCATCAGTTACTAAAAAATATTAATTTTTTTGTGAAAAAGTGGAAATTTCATCTATGTATGTAACATTTTTTTTTAAAAAATCCCTCTGAAAAGCCACATATGTGTTTAAAACATAAAGTCAACTGAGAGCTATCGCAAGACTTATGAATCAAATCAATTTTTTCCTTTCTTCTCCTCACTCACTTAAAAGTGATAATCGTGCAGCAGGAGCAATCAATAGTTCAAAGGGTTAATGCACATGTTTTGCACACCTCAGGTCTGGGTTCAACCCCCAGCTTTACATGATCCCCAAAGCACTGCCAGGACTGACCACCAAGCACTGACCCTGGAATGGCCCCTGAACACTCTGAGTGGAAGAAACCCCTACCCCAAAAAAGAACAAATATAATAATTAAAGGGAAAAAAGTCCAAAACTGAAGTACTTGGGAACAAGTAATTTGTAGTAACCCTAAAACATACCCTCCCCTCCTTTCTTTCAAAGTGTTATCACTTCCCTCCAACCAAATTTAAGCACACCTGTGATCATTTCTTTTCTAAAGAAAAAAAGGCTACCAAAGTAATCTATATTAGCAATAGGACTGGACAAATGCTTAACCTAGGGCCTCTTACATGAGAACAACTCCTATCTTAAAAACTAAATGAAGCAATATATTTCATTCCTGCAAAGAATGGGTAATCTTCAAATAGCCATTTAGTTTTGATTTGGGATCAGCAGTGCTCAGGGTTTATTCCTGGCTCTTGCTCAGGGATCACTCCAGACAGTCCTCCGGGAACCATATTTATTAATGAGGATTAAACCTGTTGGCTACATGCAAGGCAAGGGTCTTTTCCACTGGACTGTAAGTCCAGCCCCATTAAAAAAATGCTTTTTAAGAACCAGAAATCTAGCTCAAAGGGCTGGAGCACATGCTTTGCATATGGGAGCCACAGGTTTGATCCATGGTGCCGGATGGTCCCCTGAGCACTACAAGAAGTGACCTCTGACCACCATGCCAGGAACGGCCACCGGAAGAGGTGCCCCAAAGGCAGCTTTTAAATTTACATACAAAAATCCTGAAATGTTTAATCAAATGTATAAGTAATAAAATATGTGACCTCACAGATACTGTGACTCCTTCAGCGTTAGGGGAATGAGACCCATTGTAATTATATTTTGATGCAGTTCTTGTTCATTCCTCTACCCTCTGCATCGCCTCTTACATTGAGGTCGAGGCTTGGAGAAGAGATGCAGCAATGGTAAGCAGTGAGCAGAAAGGGAGCATTCTGACATTTGCTAATGTACAGCAAGCTACAGACACATCTGATTCTGTACAATCTTGGGTTCTCCTCTGCAGACGCAAACGTTGAATCACTCTAGCTCTTCACTAGGCACTGGCAGAAGCTTCCTAACCTCTTAAGCTTCATTTTCTTCATTTCTAAAATAAGCACAATGGTGTCCCTACCTTGAAGTGTGGCTGGGTGTGAGAATTAGATAACAATAGTGCCATAAAGCCACTGAGACTGGATTTGGCACATAGCAAATGGGCAATGACTTTGTAAAAATGTCTGTAGTAATAAATATTCATTTAAAAGATTCATTTAAAAGATTACTTTACAATATCTCTTGACAAATAAGGAATTGACAATGTCTAAGTATTGTGCCAAAAAAAAAAAAACTTATCTTTTAAAGTTACTCAAGTTAAATGCATTTTAAAAGACCTTGAATGTTCCCTGGCTTCTTGCCAATGACTTTTGGTTCTGAATTCAGAACAAAAATGATTATAAACAGCTTCTAAAACTACTATAAAATTTGCAGTGACTTGCTGTAAGTCACTTACCCTCCCTGGATCTCAGTCTCATCACCCTAAAAAGGATAAAATCATTTTCACCTTATTAGATAATACTGGGGTTTTAGATGTCGTCTGCAAACAGCTTTTCTTGCACATTACTAGAAAAAACATTTGTTAGCAGTTGACTAAGATTAAGTCATGATAGGGTTTATCAAATGCTGGGATAAAAATTAAGAAAAATAATCTACATTTTGTACCATAATCTTACATTTAGCCTTACAAATAGTCTCACCTTCTAGTAAGAAGTCAGATTTTATTTCCCTACTCTCTTCCAGCCCCTATGTGACTCTTACTACCTAACAGTGTCGTGCCGTGCAAAAATAACAATAAATTAATTTAAAAGTCCAATAAAAATTCCAAATACAAGAGAATATTTACATCATTATAACTCAACCTGACAAGTGTGCCTGGTCCTCTGGAAAAAGAAAGAACAGTTTTCCTGTTTTGTTTTTAATTATGTGGGAATTACAAAAAGAAAAAGAAAAAAATGTTTTAGCCACCAATGGGAGAAACAATATTTAGCTTACCTCCTTCCCTACTTTCTACTATGATAAGAGTGACATCTGAGAACAAGGCTTACCTATTTGCACCATTTCTTCATTACCAGCCTGGAATGGGGGGAGGGGGTGTGGAGTAAAAAAAAAAAACAAGAAGAAGAAGAAAGAAAAGAAAAGAAACAGTTACTGGGTTTCATCTTATCACCTTGTGCATTTTATTTCTACCATTAATGCTTTTCAGGAGCTAGCTAATCAGGAGATGCTGAAGCCTGGGATTGTTGCCCAAAGACTGCACCTCGGGTTGTAAGAAGGTTCTTGTAACAGGAGCGCGAGTGAGCCAATTCAATAAGGACTGGGGACAGGTTATTGTCTGGCCGTTTTCATTTTAACATTAGGAAGCCAGCAAAAATAAACACTGACGCTTAACACTGTCTCCTGAAAACTCCAGATTCTCGGTCAGAAGTAGAAAAGTCTGGATTCAAGCAACCGCCAAGAAGCTCTCAAAGAGCGCCTGCCTGGTTGATCCGTTTTGAGTTCACGAACGGGCTAAGTCAATTCTTGACTTTTTTTTTTTTTTTTTACCCTCTAGGTCAGATCTGGCAGACCAGAGAAGTTACACCAACCGACAGAGCAATTCCATAGCCGAAATGCCACTGGCGCAGAGCGTTTGTGATTTACTACGGACTGCTCTGCTCCTGCGCTGAGCCACCCCAAGGACGCCGGGCGCCTCGGGCTTCACCTTGCGTCTGCAGGGGTGGGGGCTGGGCGCAAAGAAAAGGAACTGCACTCAATTTAGCTCTCCAAAGACTTGGGGCTGGGCAGCGGGGCGGGAGGGAGGGACGCGGAGGAGCCTCCCACCGCTGCCCAGGAAAACGCAGGGCAGGAAGCATCCCTGGGGCCACCCCTTTCCCCAACTGTCAAACCCCGGCCCCGCCGCGGTCCTCCCAGGACACGTGTCTGCTGGATCGCTCCGGGCCCGGGCCAGGGACTTCCTGCAACCCCCGCCTCCGGCTGCCCGCAAAAGCTCTGAGTCAGAGAGCGGGAGAGAGCAAAGCCCCTTGGACCCCGCAGCGGGCTGCCCGGAGTCGCATCCCGGGATCTTGGGCCCCCGCGGGCACAACTTCATTCAAGCGCCCAACACCGCCCCCACCCCCGGGACGGGGAAACCCGCGCGGCCCCGCCGGCGCGCTGCAGTTCCTGCCCGGGGGATCAGGAATGCCGCAAAGTGCCGGAGGTGTGACAAGCCTGGTCCCGAGTCCTGGAAATCACCACCGCTCGGGCACGTCAACCCCCACCCCCTTCCCCCCACTCCCCCCCAACACACACACACACACACACACACACACACACACACACACACACCCCGACACCCAGAGCCCGCACGCTGCGCCCAGTCCTCCAAACGCCGCTCCAGGAGGCACCAGACAACGGGGAAGGGTGGGAGAGGGAGGAGGGGGGGAGAAGGGGGCGGGGGGAGGAGGAACTTTGGGGGAGAAAAGGTTGGGTTGGAGTCTTTTTATTATTATTATTATTATTGTTATTATTTTCCACTTACTTGTCCATCGGCTGAGGTCCTAACCTCTACCAGGGCGGCTGCTATCAACCAAAGTGACAGGAGAACCATCCCGAGTCGAGTTCACTTTTCAACTTAACTGGGCAAAAGCCAGTGCCCAGAGCAAGCCCCCCGCCGCCAAATAAGTTTCTTTGGGGACAGGGTGAGGGGTGAGGGGGAGGAAAATGAGAGGAGGGGGGAAAAAAAGCGGGGATGGGGGGGTTGCGAATGCAGAATTTTTTTTTTTTTGGGAAAAAAAAAGAAGAAAAAAGCTCTTCTGTGCTTTGCTTCAATGAAAATGCAATCTGAGCATTGCAAGGGGCGCTTTCACCTTCTCACCCCGTCCCCCGAGTCGGCGTGTGCAGGAGCGAGAAGGTGCCGGCGGGCGGGGGCGAGGGGCCGGGGGCTCCCCACTAGCTGGGGAGCCCGAGCAGTGCCCGGGCGGTGCAGGAGCCGGCGTGGGCCCCCCGGAGCCCCGCAGGGGGAGGCGTGAGCGGGCGCGACGGGCGAGCGGGCGCGGGAGAAAAGAGGCAGCGAGAGGGCGAGTCGGCGGCTCGCACCCGGGCGGGGCGGGAGGAGCCGGGCGGGAGCGGAGGAGGAGCGCGCGGAGGTGGGAGGAGTGGGCCGCTCGCGGGCTCCTGTTGCTGGCAGAGCCTCCGTCTGCTCGCCGCCTGCGACCCGCGGGGCGCTAATAAGGCGTCGGGAACCCCCCCCCCCGGGCCCCGGGCCGCCCCTCCCGCCGCCGCGCCCACGTCACTCGGGGCCGGGGCCCGCGCCCCCGAGCGCCCGGCGGGGCGGGAGGAGTGGGGAGCCCCGGGGAAGGATCGCTCGGGGCGAGGGGGGCGGGGGGTGGAGGGTGGATGGGGTTGCAATCGCCCCGAAGGTCGAGATGGGGGTTCTTCACCCCCGGCGCTCCCCTCCCGCCGCGAGAGATGGGGAAGGGAGGTGGCGGGGCTGGGGGAACCGGCCGTCCCGGATCTGGCGGGACCCGCGTTGAGTTAATTATAGGAAGGGGGGAGGGTCCTTAGAGCTGGTCCCGAGTTGGGGAAATTCACCTCCGCAGATCTGCTCTGGAATCCCAGTCCGGGTAATCGGTTCCCGATCGAACCCCCTGGATCGAACCTCCAGGTCTTAACTGCTGGGTACTTCCTCTCCAGATCTCCAGATGCCTCCTCCGTTGGGTGGAGGTAGTTCCCCACCCCACGATCTCTTTTTTCAAGTTCTTGTTTATGCTTGATTCCTTTGCATGCGTCTGAAAAGATACCCTGTCTTCTTGGCGCCTCCGGATGTTTCCGTTTATCACTAGGGTCCACAGGCCTGAGCTCTTCCCCTCTCCACTCTCCAAGATTAACTTATCAAATGATTTCTGCTCCATATGGCAGGGGCTTCCTGCAGACTCCTGCAACCTGGGCTCCTGAGACCAAAAAGGAGTTTGCAGGAATTCAAGCTCTGGCGCAACCCCCTGGAGTACACCCCGAAGTGTGTGCTTGCCAGGGAACAGACTGGGAGAAAAGAAAATCTTTCACTGATCAATTTCTGATACCCCCTTTCCTAGAATAGCCCATGAGAGAAGCTACTAAGGGCACAAATTGAGACAGAATCGAGACTTCAAATGGCGTCTTGCAGTGACCTGCCCAAAATGAAATTTGCAGAAGCTAATGGTTTGCTTTGCTAAAGGATGCCTGATAAACTATTTCTTTAATGGTGTGAGATTGAGTGGATTCTTATGCTTTGATGCCTTAAAGGCTACATCCTGACTTACAAATCCATAAGATCTAGTGTTGGATATGTAATCTGCTAACTCTCAAATTATATATGTGTGTGTTTGTGTGTAATGAGATATATATATATAAACATTGACTTGTACAAATAAACCAGAAAACCAAAAGGTCTCCACCTAGTAACGTGGGATATTAGGTTAGTTTCCTAGTTATTAATTGGAATTAGAATTCTCCACTAGTAAAGAAAACACTAATTTTTTCCTCCAAGTCTCATCATTTTTATAGTCTGTTAGTGACTTGCCTTTACTGAATTCTGTGCCAGTTTTCTCATTCGTAAATAAAATTTTGTCCATTTGTAAAGGAATATGATATTAAAATCAAAATCAGGGTTCTAGATTCATCTACAGTTGTCTTCTTTGACATGATAGAACTCTATCTGGGTCTTCTCGTCTATGAGATATTTAAGCTTTACAATTCCCTGATTTTAAGTAAAGGCATATACTATATTAAGTCACGGGATTACATTAGCCCTTTAGGGGTTCATTTTACAAAATTTAGACATTTTTTATCACTGTAACTTCTGGCACAATAAGCATTTTGTGGCTTTCATGAAATTGGTGACTTCATATATTGCTAGTTAGGCATGATCACAGAGAAAAATGTATTTTACATTGTTACCCAAAATGTCTTGTGATCCAGTACACGCTATACAACAAGTTGAGGATTATCTATCCTGTTTGTTTTCTGGGACTTACATCCAAAATCTTGGTCAAAGTCCAATTCATTGATTTAGGAACCTAACAAACAATCTTGCCCCTTATGATAATCAACATTGTTTAAGAGTGTATAAGTCTTACTGGATTCTAGCTGGGGGGTTCTAATTAACAAATTATACCAATACACTGAAACAAAGTGTACACGAAAACAAAGTGTACAATACACTAAAAACTATACTCACATTCAGTGTTTCACACACACAAAAAAAGAAAAGAAAGTGAAACAAAAAGTTTCTAACGGTTATTTAAAGTTTATGAAATAGTCAAATAAACAAAATAAAATTATTTTTTTCTTTTATAAAACTTCAGAGGGTTTTTAATGTCCCCGACTGCATTGAGTCTTTAAGAGACATAGTGCACTTTGGTCTCACATTTATGTGACTACAATACTTTTTTCCTGTGCTTCGTGCTCTGTGGAAATATACTGCAAAGACTAAAACTATTTAAATTTAGATCTATTAAAAAGATGAAAGACTAAAGTAGATAATGGACCTAACGTGATAACCTCTCAGTATCTGTATTCCAAACCATAATGCTCCAAAGTAGAGAGAGAGTATGGGGAATATTGTCTGCCATGGAGGCAGGGGGAGGGTGGGAATGGCGGGGGGGGGGGGGGGGGGTATACTGGGGAGATTTGTGGAGGGGAATGTGCGCTGGTGGAGGGATGGGTGTTTGATCATTGTGTGATTGCAACCCAAACATGAAAGCTTGTAACTATCTCACAGTGATTCAATAAAATTTTTTTTAAAAAAGATCAAAGACTTCAGTTACTGAAGATAAGTGAACATGCATGTACACCGTCTAGCACATAGAAAGGGCTTAGATGAAATATTTTTTTAATGTAAAACTGGATGACATATGTACAGATGGATCACTGATAATAAAATTTGGCAAGTTCTAAGAAAAGTAGGAAAGTGTAAGCAGCTAAAACATGATGAACTTTTCGTTTTACTGGAGATAATATTCAGGATCAAAGACAAAGACATTATCAAGTTTCTTCCACAAAGTGATCCCTACCAGACCACATAGGATTAAATCCATTTAATCCATTAAATCTATTTCCATTCTTTCTTTGCCCCCAGCTGCAGAGTTGTTTTTCACAGATTCATGGCCACACAGTTGCCCATACTGATTTTTCATAGTACCAAGGACACTTTATTACAGGAGGTAAAAACAGGAGGGCTGGAGCGATAGCACAGCGGGTAGGGCGTTTGCCTTACAAGCGGCCAACATGGCCAACCCGAGTTCGATTCCTCTGCCCCTTTCGGAGAGCCCGGCAAGCTACCGAGAGTATTGGATATGCCAGACACAGTAACAACAAAGTCTCCAATGGAGACGTTACTGGGCCCGCTCGAGCAAATCGACGATCAACGGGAGGGCCTTTACCTTTACCTTTTAAAAACTTCCTATTCACAATACCAAGGACACTTTATTATAGCAGGCACTGAGATGTTCCACAAAAACTTAGTCAATGGTTGTAATGTTTTGTTTTCGCAAAATATGGCTTTAGCAGAAAAATAAATTTCAAAAGTAACATCAAGGATATAAACTTTTCGCTTTTGTGAAAGATATCCACTTTAATACTTTCAGCTTAAGTTTCTGAAAAAATTAAGTTTATTAATAACTTTAAGTTTCGTGAACTTGGTTGATATCTGGACATTGCTTCTGTGGGTCCTTATGTAGACAGCAATTAAGAAGAAAGAAGGAGGGAGAAAAAGTTGCTGTTGGGTCAATATTGTGTATATTATAATTTGACAACAAATTTAATATATGATAAATATTTGGTCCCAGCTACATATCTGAGACCAAATATTTATCATATATTAAACATAAATATAAGTTTTTGTCATTTCTTACAGCAAACCAGTGATTTTTAATGGTTTATTTTGCTATTAAAATTTCCCACACTTTAATTAAGACATTTTTGTAGGTGGGGGCAATTCTCAATGGGCCCGCTTCTGGATAGTTCAGCCTACCAGGTCAGAGAGTTCAGTGCTAGGGTCCAAAGATGTGGAACTTCTGGGGCCTGCAGTGTTGGGGATCACCCGGATCACAGTGGAGATGATCAGAGACCTGCAGGGCCATACCTGGTAATATTGAAGAGAAAGGCAAGTTTGAACTTGCTGGGGTTCTAACTCAGGTCTCAGCCCATGGTTTTCCCTGACCACTATGCTATGTTCCCAGATCTAATGAAGACTTTTAAAGAGCAGTTTCAAGTTCACAGCAAAATTACTCCATGACTTGGAGGCTAACCACACATACTAGGGGAAAAGGGAGCTCAGATAAAGAGGGAACACCAAAAAAAGGTGTTGGGAGGATCCTCCCAGGATGGGAGAAGCATGCTGAAAGTAGACTATAGACCAAACATGATTGCCACTCAATGTTTCTTTTGCAAACCACAACACCCAAAAGGAGAGAGAGAACAGAAGGGAATGCCCTGCCACAGAGACAGGGTGGGATGGGGGGGGGGGGGTGGGGGATACTGGGATCCGTGGTGGTGAGAGGTGGACACTGGTGGAGGGATGGTATTTGATCATTGTATAATTGAAACCCAAGCACAAAATGTGTAAGTCTGCAACTGTACTTCATGATGTCTCACTATTAAAAATTATTTTAATAAAAAATAAATAAATAAA